TTTTGAATGATTCGATTTATTACAAATTTTACAATTTAAAGGTTTAACATCTGTTAAAGCAAATGAATGTGTAGTTGAATGTAGTCTATATTGTGTTAGGGTGATATATGTTTTTAAACCTAAATGTGAGTTAATGCGTTCTAAAATTTTAACTTGTTATCGAATATATTCAATTAAATCTTCACAAGATGGAATATCTTTATTAATTGAATTTTCAAATGATTGTATAATTTGAGGATCTAGCTTTTTTAGTGCCATATGAAGAAATATGAAATCCGAAAGTTCAGTTATATTTAACTGTTTCAAAGCGCCATAAGAGAAAGAAAAACGTTCTATATATGTATATATTATTCTATAGGTATATTGATTGGAATTATTAGATGCAACTTTAATATCAATTATATTATTTAAATAAAATGTACCCAATGCAGGTTTATTTTAATATTTTTTTACCAACTAATTCCAAATTGTTAAATAATTTTCCTCATTAGGAAGAATTCTCGATAAAACAGTAAGTGACCTGCCACCTAACTTTCCCACAAGATATTGAACTTTTTGCCTCAAAAGGTCAATTTTCAGGATTCCCATCAAATTTAGGTAATTCAATTGGGGGTAATTTAATGTTAAAACAGGGCTCTTTTTCTGAAGAATTTTGGGTTTGTGGCAAAACTCTGCGACCCTACAACACAGTATTTCTTACTTCCTTAATTTGGCTATATAAATTTACAAAACTCGACCATTTTTCAAAACTAGGAATATATTCTGAATTTATATCCAATTCTAAATTATTAACTTGATCTGTTAAATTATTATATTGATCATATAATGTATCTAAAATTGACGTATTTGACATAAATTCCTGTGTATTCCTAGTTTCTGCCTTTGAAACCTTTTTGGCATTGTCATTATAATTTAAAAATAAATTAAATATTGCGTCTCTTTTTGCATTTATAGCTAATAATGACATATTTGACATTTTGTAATTAATTCAATTTAAATTCAATTTTTAACTAAATAGGTAAATAAAATTTTATTAGTGGACTGTATTAAAAAATGGATTTCAAAATCCGGTTCGTATGGGCCAAAATATGGTGTATCAAAGCACCACAGGTTAATAAAAGAAGAGATTGTAGTTATATTCCTTTATTTTGTTATTTATATATGTATAATTATTTATTTATAAATTTAATTTAAATTTAATTTAAATAAGTATTCTTATAATTTCTTATTTTATTTTCTTTCTTCTTATATCATTCTTCTTGTATAAGTAATTTTCTTTTATATTATCTGTATGTTGTTTATGTATGTTTTATATTTTATTTATTATTTTATAATTATGATTCTTTTTATGTTATACAGTGTGACCCATTTGTTTGCGACTCACCCCTTTAAAATCTTTATTTATTGTGCGATTTTAACCGGATTTGTTTTAAAGTGTAGATCTTGATAAACTGCATTTTTGGAGCAAGATACGCCATATTAGTAGTTTTTAAGAGTAAATTTTTAAGAATTCATATTAGCGATTTTTTTAAACAAAATCCAAGCACCGCACTGGATTCACCACCCCTCAAAACAACCCTATACTAAATTTTATTGAAAAATTGTAAGAAAAAAAATGCACAAAAATATCTACAAAAATTCATTTTGTCAAGTTATCCCTGAAAAAAACATTGAAATAAAATTAAACTAATATTAACATGGTCCTATTACTATAGGCTTAATTTTATTTCAATGTTTTTTCATGGATAACTTGACAAGATGAATTTTTGTGGATATTTTTGTGCATTTTTTTTCTTACAATTTTTCAATAAAATTTAGTATAGGGTCGTTTTGAGGGGTGGTGAATCCAGTGCGGTGCTTGGATTTTGTTTAAAAAAATCGCTAATATGAATTCTTAAAAATTTACTCTTAAAAACAGAATTGCCAGAGGATGGGGCTAGGAGAAATCACAGACCAAAATAAAATCGTTCAAGAAACAAAAAAGTTATGTCGTTTTGAAAAAGAACGAACTTTTTGGTCGCGACACATTGCGCAGTTTATTTGAAAAATAATTATGGGCCTCCACTCCCTTGTTGCCCCAGGGCCTCCACACCTCTAAATCCGGCCCTATCTATTTGAGATAATTTAAATTAAAGTGGTGCAATTTATAATCTACTATAATTTATCGACAAATTTAAAATTTTATTAAAAAAATGCAAATGTTACAGATTTTATACGATTTTAAATTTTTATTATTTATATTATTAAAATAAAAAAATATTTCAAATGGTATAAAATCTGTAATATTTGAATTTTTTAAATAAAATTTTAAATGTAATTGATAAATTATAATTATAGAAGATTATAAATTGCACCACTTTAACTTGAATTATCTCAAATAGGGGGACAAGGGGGCGAGTGAGGCGACACGAAAAACTAACTTTTTTCGCAAACTTAAATTTAAATTCTGTTTGTGCCGAACTTGTATATTGAATGGCCTTAAAAAACTATTATAAATTTGGTGTGGGTCCTATGTCTAATAACTGAGGACTATAGTCCTAATAATATATAAATTGTGCTGCGAAGCATCCGCCTGCTTTATAGCTTTTACCGCGGGCGGAGCCCTTTGGTTAACAGATAAAAGTAAATAAAATCATGAAATACATGAATATAAATATGCATATAGTCTAAGATTTTAATCGAGATAATTTAATAGTTGGTAGAACTCTCAAAAATAAGAAAAAGTTTTTATGTTTAATTAGGCCAGATGCAAAATGCAGAAGATTTAAAAAAATTGAAATTAAAAAAAAAGAAATTCAAAGAAAAGTAAAAAAACAAAACTTTAAAACATACAAGTTTATTTAAACTTTTTGTCTTGTTTTGCAAGTTCTATTGACTATATACTAAAACTTCCCTATTAAAATCTTAGAACCAATATATTGATTTTTTATAATTGAAGCGTGGTAACTCAAAAGCGTGTAAGCAAAAATGTGGTAACTAATGAATTACTTAATATTGTTTAATAGGTTTGTGCTTTGCACGGCATGCCGTGCAAAGCACAAACAGTGGTTAGAAATCCCAAAAAGCTGGCCAAAACCCAAAAATCAAAATTTACCTTTCAGGGTAAATCTTAACAAAATCTCGAATAGATGGTGTTAGTGTAGTAAAATCCAAAGGGACAGAGCATAAGATAGCCTTTTAGACTGTAGGTTTTCTTTCAAAGTTCGCCCTTTTAACGAACACCTGTCACTCTGGCGTTTATTCACTTTTATGCCTCGCGGCAAGAAACGGAATTTTAACGTGTAAAAGTGTTGTGAAGAGATCGGAAAAAATGGAAGATGTTCCTGAAGGTATGTACATTATTTACAAATGTTTCATCATGAGTTTTTTAATTTTATTAATTTGCGGCAAAACCTTTAAATTTGACATGTTTAAATTTCTGTATTTCCATACGGAGCATGAATAAATGTAACGAAATAGTAGTGATCCGGCGAGATCCGGAACAGTTGCAAACTGTTTCATGTGTAAAAAAGTATAAACAATTAAATGACGCAGACGTAACTTCCACCTTTGTCCACCTTTTAGTGAAAAAAATTATTTATTGCAATAGCGCAGGAGGAAGTAAAGCTTGCGAGCGTCGAAAAACCGAGCTCGCTGGACGTAACAATAGAGAACCGGTGGTTTCTTTATCGAAATATTATATACTGGGTGTTCATTTTAAATATCATTTGATCCTCATCAATGGTGAAGATTTTCAATGCATGTTCGGGTCATTTTTAAGTCCTTTATTAAAATCTTGAACGAATGTATTAACGATTTTTTCAAAATGTATTCATGATTTACTTTCAGTTTTCAATTTAAACATGAAGATGGGTTTTTATTTTATTTTATTTATTAATGTTAATAAAATTTGTTTCATTGATACCGTATGAAAGCCGCTTTTCTTTCATGATTTTTTTTTTCAAGAAACCCTTTAAACCCCCAAAAAACCCCTGACCTACTTTTTTGTTCAATAAAAATCATGAAACAACTCCGCCATTTTGTATCCGCCATTTTGTTGTTTAAAAAACTAATGTTAAATTCGTAATCAGCAATTACGAGAACCCCCAAATTAGTATTTTTGCTGAAATGAAATCATTCCGCCATTTTGTATCCGCCATTTTGTATCCGCCATTTTGTTTTGTTTTAAACTAACATCAGATTCGTAATCAGCGACCGAAAAAACCCCCGAACTATTATTTTCGTTTGAAAAAAATCAAAAGTCATTAAACAACTCCGCAATTTTGTATCCGCCATTTTGTTTTTTAAAAACTAACATAAAATTCGTAATCAGCGACCCCAAAAACCCTTGTATAAGAAAATTTCACGCAAAATTACTACCTTTTCGAGTTTTGGCCAGCTTTTTGGGATTTCCGCGGCAGTAACACGCTTCAATTATTATCAAGTCATGAGTAAAACTTGTATAAAGAAACTATGTTTTAAATATTATAAACAATAAAAATTTAAAACAATGCATGCATTTTTTCTAAAATTGTTTATAATATTAGTACTAATGTTATTATTCCGGTAAATTAAAATACTGCATGTATAATATCAAAAGCAAAAATTCGCTTTCAATTCGTAACGTCTCTATTTAAAATGTATTTAGTTTATTATATTGTCATACAAAAATGTTAAATTTGGGCATGTACAAAATTTTTGGATAACTTATAAAGATCGAGTCCTGCTTCGGATAAAGGAAAATTTTTATATTGGAAATATTTAGAAACACATAACATTCTAAAAACTACGGGGTAAAAAGTACCGTCATTTGGAGCGTCCTCTTTAGATGTCTTTTCTTTTTCCTTTTTAACCTTCCTACCGGATTGGTGGCTTTTTTCACATATATCACAAAATGTCTTGTTCCCTGTACACAAACATTTAGCAATGCAAGTCAATATAGTATGGCAATACATTAACAATATTAAGATCAATACTTTATTTAAAACAGCGGTTTTTTATTATTTAAGTTGGGTACTTACAGAAATATACAGCTAGAGCCTCTTCCTTTTCAATCATTGTAATAAGTTCACTGCCTTCTGTATCTTCAATAACATCTCCTGATGGATCTTTTTGTGTAAGTAGCCACTGAAGTATTTGGTGTTCATCATAGAGATCTCCAGCAAAAATTACAGGATCTTTGGATCCAGTTTTAAAAAATAATATTGCAGGTAGAGCAAAAACTCCCAACTCTTTCGCCATTTGTTTATCGTCGATTTTAACAAAATTTATACCAGCTGAATCTGCATCATCGTCTATGTTTTCAACTTCTGATAAAACTTTTGGGCATTGTTTGCAATCCTGACTATCTAAGAAAATCAATGTATCTATTAATTTGTTTAACCTTTATGTATAAATTATTTTATATAATATATATTTTTATTTTTTAGAACAATACAACATGTACGATTGTGAGGCCTTTAATAAAATATTAGAAATATTCCCAATACCTAAACAAAACACAAAGTGCTTAAAGTACTTTTCGCCAACGATGTTGGCATCTTCAGAAGCAAAATGTAACTTTTATATTTATAAGGAAGCGTTTTACTTTTGGCCTATATATCAGTCCCGACCCATTTCTAATTACCACTCTACACGCGTCTGTTATCAATGCATTTTATAACAAAACGCGGTAATCACTACTTGAAAGATGGGAATTAAGTATCAAAATCAGTGCTGCCAGCTGAACACACCCAATACTCGGCCACGTACATTAACGTGCTGTATAGATTCCAAGCGGTGGGTCGTGGTTAAAGCACACTTGATTTTTTGACTGGCCAACTACAATTCGTTTATTTTGATCTTTCTAGTATACGTATACGGTAAACGGCAAAGTAGAAGGACCAAGGTGGGTGGAGCTAGCGGGCGTTCGTGCCGCATGCTTCAAACCTCCAGTGGCGTAGTAAATTTCAATATCGTAACATCAGTTGTTTTAATTTTGAATTTGGCAATAATAAAAATGGCATTAATGGTTTCCAAAATAAATACAGAAGTAATTTTGTGATGAATTGTTTTTATTGTACAATAAAAGCGATCAATTAATTATTTTTATTTAGGATTTTGCAATAATAACCAATAAAAATGACAATGTTTATGGTTTCAGAAATATATATATATGTTAGGGAACTCGTTGAGTGACAAGTTGGTTGCCTAAACAAGCTTGGGTGGAATCAAGGGCGGTGCCAGGTATTTCGGGGAAGTACCGAATGCGAAATGATGAGCAAGCAACGATGGCTTTTTGCATCGTAATAGAAAGAGGGACGGGCATTCAGTTCACCTCCATTCTACGAGTTACCAAAGTAGTCATTAGTTTAGTGTTTAATAATTAGTTTATGTTAATAATTAGTTTTGAGTATAGTTAGTTTTGTATGTGCGTGAAATACATAAACAATATAAACGTTAATAAATAAACATTGTGTGGTTACTATAAACATTATTAAGTATGGCAGACCTTGAAGAACAAAGGGATGCAACCCCGACATCAGAAGTGGGATGTGCTCAGGCCCAAACGGCAGAAACTGAAGCGGATAAATGGAGGTATTTATTTGAACAACAAAATAAAAACTTTTCGGCTTTGTTGCAAACACTAAAATCACCAGCAGTCGATAATAAAATTCATTTGCCTGAATTCGACCCACATAACAAAAATGCTGACTCGCGTTCTTGGTTAGCTACAGCTGATATGTGTATAACCGATCAACCGCTAACTGGCGCTCGATTAATGATTTCGCTGAGCAAAGCATTAAAAGGTCAAGCAGCTAGTTGGTTATCTCAGATTTCTTACCCAGGAATGACATGGCAGGACTTCAAAGAAATCTTTGATGCCAGATATAATAACGCAGAAACTCCAACTGCATTTTTAATAAATACTAATAATAATAAGCCGAAAGAGGGAGAATGCGTCGCAGCATTTGCAGCCAGCCAAGTCTCATTATTAATCAAGATGGAAAAATTTAAATATCGAAGAAATCGCAGTTGCCACTGTTCTAGCCCAAATTTCTCAATTCGAAAATAAAGTTCAACACCTTGCATTTACCACAGAAATAAAAACAAGACAAAATTTGCAGCAAGAGTTAGCAGCATTTTCTTTCTCGAAAAGAAAATTTACAGTTAATGAGCGAGATGTATCCGACGCAAAACAATTTAAACCAAATATTGCATCGCATATAAATTGTTTTAATTGTGGGAAAATAGGACACAAGTCAACAGAGTGCCGTTCAAGTAAAATAAGCAATTTTATAATGCAACATGAATGAATGCCATCACCAAGTGCCACATCTAATACGAATAAAATGGTTACATGCTTCAAATGTAACAAATCTGGCCACTACGCTTCCCGTTGTTCGTTCCCAAAGAAATCGGAAGCCAATAACGACGCAGGTAGCAACAGAGCAGGTCCGTCGGCAGAGCGTCGCGTAGATGTTTGTTTAATAAACACACCATCTGGTTCTCTACGTCATCACGGTGAGAGTTTTTCATTTTACTATGACTCGGGCGCTGAGTGTTCACTTATTAAAGAATCAGCATCTTTTAAGTTTAGCGGGACGCGTTATAATAATGTTGTTGTTATGACTGGTATAGGACAAACCAGTGTACACAGTAGTCAAGAAATATTAAGTTATTTTAGATCGATAACATTTGCTTTAAAATATTATTTCATGTGTTGCCTGACCATTGCTTACGACACGAAATTTTAGTGGGCCGCGAAATTTTAAACCAAAATATAGCTGTTTACATGACGTGAAATAAAATAAAATTAACTAAAATTAATATAGTCAACATATGCGATAAATATGAATTTAATAAAAGCTACTTTGAAAATGTAATTACAGATATTTTACCATTAGGTATACTATAGACTATATATAAGTCTCAGTTATTGAACAATTTATTTCTTGATCGCTGGTTAAGCGATGAAAATTGATCTGTGTAATCGCTGGCTAAGCGATGGTTATTCAATTTTTGATCGCTGGTTAAGCGATGACAATTTATTTCTTGATCGCTGGCTAAGCGATGGTTATTCAATTTTTGATCGCTGGTTAAGCGATGACAATTTATTTCTTAATCGCTGCTTAAGCGATGACAATTTATTTTTTGATCGTTGGTTAAGCGATGACAATTTATTTTTTAATCGCTGGTTAAGCGATGACAATTTATTTCTTAATCGCTGGTTAAGCGATGACAATTTATTTTTTAATCGCTGGTTAAGCGATGACAATTTATTTCTTAATCGCTGGTTAAGCGATGACAATTTATTTCTTGATCGCTGGTTAAGCGATGAAAATTTATTTCTTGATCGCTGGTTAAGCGATGACAATTTATTTTTTTAATCGCTGGTTAAGCGATGACAATTTATTTCTTGATCGTTGGTTAAGTAATTGACCTTATCGTTAATTGTGTAAATGTAATTGTTTTATGATTACAAACAAGCAAGTTTAATAATGTCAGAATGACCGAGCGATTTACTTCTATAGTTTTGTTTTGTAGCCGGGTCACACGAGGACGTGTGACTTGTCAGAATGGCCGTGTTAGGGAACTCGTTGAGTGACAAGTTGGTTGCCTAAACAAGCTTGGGTGGAATCAAGGGCGGTGCCAGGTATTTCGGGGAAGTACCGAATGCGAAATGATGAGCAAGCAACGATGGCTTTTTGCATCGTAATAGAAAGAGGGACGGGCATTCAGTTTTGGATGCCTGACTTGGCACGACCAGTGGGATCACCTCCATTCTACGAGTTACCAAAGTAGTCATTAGTTTAGTGTTTAATAATTAGTTTATGTTAATAATTAGTTTTGAGTATAGTTAGTTTTGTATGTGCGTGATAACATAAACAATATAAACGTTAATAAATAAACATTGTGTGGTTACTATAAACATTATTAAGTATGGCAGACCAGGGGATGCAACCATATATATATATATATATATATATATATATATATATATATATATATATGTATATATATATATATATATATATATATATACATCCCGCCTACAATGCTGCGTCAATACATTATGAAATTCGCATTCAATGCTGCGTCAGGTGTAATGCTGCGTCGTATATTGACGCAGCATTACATTTAAGGTTTATTTTACTGGTGACGTCACGACAATCCTACACACCGATTTTAAGGGTGACGCAGCATTGATGGTTTTTTGTAAAATACGTGTATATTGAAGTTTGGCAGTTTGCCGCAAGGGTGCGCTTTTAAATTTGGTATATATTGAAAAAGTGAATATTTCTTTTAAACTTACGGTAAACCTGCATCAAGTGAAGCTGACAACAATGTACGACGCAGCAACGTCGATACAATGTACTTAATATTATTCGACACATAAATAATTTAAGATCGTTAAACGAACGCAGCAATGCTGCGTCACATGTGTTAATGTGAATTTTGGAATAATTGTTTGGTAGCCAGTTTGTTTTATAAAATTATTATTGCCAAGTTCCTTTTAATAATTATATCTATAGTTTCTCTGTAAACTGGGCAACTTGAAGTAAGAAATTGTCTAGGCAAGTTTTTTTGTTATATTTTTGTTGTATTTAATAAATGTTATTCGAGGAATAAATATCGGTCTATTTATTAGTATACGGCAGATGAACCAAAAATATTCCTATTACTTTGGAAAACATTGAGCATTTTCTGAAAAATCTATACAGGGGATTGTTTATAAAATCCGAAGACAAAGTTTAGATGACTTTTTTAGAATTACAAAATAATAATTATAAAAAATAAATAAGTCACAGTAACAAGCAAACAATATTGGTTGAATAATTAAACAATTAGGTTGATTCCAATAGTTACTGTCTTTAATTAATTTAGTCTGAAGTGACCATTTTGCTTTGGTGACACGTCAGGGGACTGGTTTTTAAGGACTATAAGAACGATTTTGATACATTAAAGTTTATTTTATTGGATTTTGAACGTCGAGCATAGGTAGATTAGGTTATTATCTTTTGAAGTTATCTACGAAATATTTATGATCTGTTATTTTTCTAAACAATATTAGCTTGAGACAATGAGTTGCCCAGTTTACAGAGAAACGCCCCTATTACTTTAAGAATAAAAAAGAGTAAAAATAGTATAATTTGTCCCGTTTGTAAGGCCTCCAGCCCAGGGATGGGAAACTGACGCAAAAATTGCGTTTATTAAATTTTATACATTGACTATTTAGTAAATGTAGTATGTAGTAAATCACAGAACATAGTAAATTATTGTGTAGTAAATGTAGTAGGTAAATTACGTGATTGGTATTTTGGTTGAAATCATGATTGTTAATGAGAATGTAAGATGATAAACATAA